GTCTCACTTCTGCTTAAATTTATTCTTAAATGAACCCACTTTAGGAAGGACCCTTCATATATATATATATATATATTGTAATAGTCAAACAGCTGTCTGCCGACCCTGGAGAATATATATCATGGGAAATAAAGTTGTCTCTTAGATTCTTTAGCTTACAAAATTAATCAAGAAAGTGAAAGGATGGTAAATCTATTTTGAAGTGCCCTGCAAGAAAATAGTTAAGTCACTGATTTCTCACATTCTTTATTTTATTCTTGGGAAGGAATTGACAAAGATGAAAATGAATATGATGGAGTTCAATAAGGCAATTTGTAGTATATCTGATGGAAGAGTATCAGAGTTATTATATGATATAAAAAATGAAACAAACCGTATGGTGAGAGACAATGAAATCTAATTCCAATATGGAATGCTTAGAGACAGGAACTGAGGTTTCGAGGTAAACATTGAAGATTTTTAGAAAATAAAAAAGAGAAGAACTGTGCTTTTGAAATCCACTCAGATTGGTAGCGGTAGTCTTACAAATAATAGTTTCTAGCTGTATTTTACATTTAAAGTCATATGCATGTTTATGCTTCATGGGTTCACTAAGGGTAATATCGGTGTTCTAATGACACAGTTACTATATAGATTTAGAACTGAAATACTGATCTTTTACTATAGCTGCTAAGAGAATTTAACTGGTGTAATTTATAATGAACTATACTATTTTATTTGATCAACTAGAATAAAAATGTTTTTAAACTTCCCAAGGTACAGATAATCCCCGAGTTACAAATGTTCACTTAACGCTCGTTCAAAGTTATGTGATGAGTGCCCCTAGTGCTTACGAGCAAGTCCCGAAATTATGAATGCTGTCGCACCACGGCAGTCATTTGCCCTTACAAGCGACTGCAGTGGCTCTGCAACACTTACCCTGGTTATTCCCTCTCTCCCCACCCCCACCTGGGTCTCCCTAGGTGCCAGGCCTTCAATACTCACCCTGCGAAGATTGAGATCCTTTGCTTTCTTGGCTGCTCCAGGCCTTCAGTGCATTCCAGAGAATAGAGGCCTAAAGTAATAAAAGATCACGCGAGATCAGTGGGGCAAGATCTCACAAACAAAACCCATTTGTAAAGTGCTTGTTCTTGTGACAAAATGCAGGGGAAATGTTGTTTAGATAAGATGTATCTGCCTCTAGATTAGTCCATCAGCAAATTAGCAGCAAGGGTAGATAAAATGCATAGGGAAATCAGTTAGGATTGATTTGTCTATTTTATTCAAGAGGGACACATTAATAGGACATTTCAGTTTTAAGCGATGTATTGCTATGCTTCTTTTTGAAAAAAATTACTGAGGTGAAGGAACAGCAACAGATTAAATTGCATATGTATCTGTTTTTTAAATGGAACTCTGTGGTTTCTTAAATGTATTTAAAATCAAAATCAAAACAATTCAAAATTATTACATGTAATTTGAAAAGGCATGTTTTCAAACTTGAAGTAAAATGTCCTGAAGATTTAAAAAACAGTGCATTAGTAACTTTTGAACACCTTTTAAATTCAGAATCCGAAACAGTAAGAAATTTCAATTCTGTGAAATTATAACTTCATAGTTGGAGCCAAGGAGAAAAGCAGTTGGTTATAGCATTTGAGCACAAATGTGGTATAATGATTAATATATTAGATTTGGACTGGGAGGGTGAGGTTCCCATTTAACTGTGGATTGGGTAACTTTGGCGAGTTACTTACCTTTAGCCCAAAATGCTTGACTGTATTATTGTTGAAAGGATAACTTTAAGGGAGAGTTTTTGTTTACTGCCTTAAATATAACAGAAGAGAAAAAGAGAGAGAGAGAGAAAAAAGTGAATTTTGATAGTGTTCATCAATTTGACATCCTCTGATTTCATGCTTCCTGCATACTGGTCAAAGGTTGTGTTTACATAGAGTTATGTGAATTAAAGTCTAAAGAGCACCAGGTTGAATGCAGATACAGAAATCATTTTTATGTTACATTGAGGCAAGCCAAATACGTACTTTTTAGATGTTTGTCCTTCCAATGTCGGATTTTATGCATTACAGAAGAAAACTATATTTAATTTATATGTTAGATATTCATATTCATCTCATATAAGTTGACCTTTTTGGATTCTCTTCAAAGAAATATCCTATCCTCCTGAATTGTCAAATCTTGTTGGAACTGCATCCCATCTGTTTCTTTTCTGCTTTATTAATCTTCTGGGTAATATCCATATAAATGTTTATGCCTTGTCTATGCCTTACAAAGTACTGCCATTTGATATTGCAGATTCTTCCTGAACACCTGCTGTCAAATTCATCATGTCTTTTCTTGTCAGCTTGCACAACATTTTAGGTCTTGAGCAAGGTCTTGATATGATAGAAATGTTGTGCAGCCTGATTCTTAAAAACAGAATTTATATCTATAGCAATTTAAAATATTTATTTCTTAACATTACCTATTGGTCAATATGCCTAATATTCTGTCTTATCTGTAAGATCAGATTTGCTGTAATTTAGTGCTCTCAGAGCAATTCCAGGGACATAATTTAGATTCAGACTATTCTTCTCCATTCATGATGCTAAGCACTGTTTTGCACAAACATCACCAGTGCAATTAGTTACTAAAAATACATGTATCTCTGTATTTTTTCCTCTGGTGCTAATATAACTGGCACATTTTGATAATTGAGTTTTGACAAAGGAAATAACATTTCCAGCTTTGTCATGGAATTTCATGGCATGTAGTTTTTGAATGGGTCTCAATTGTCAGCAGGGACATTACTGAGAGGAATAAAATATATATTTCTGGCTCTAGATTAAACAGATCTATGTAGAAGGTTGATGAGCCCTTAGGCAACTGTGATACTGGGATTCTTCTCAATAAGATTCCATTGAAATTTAAGTGAACAGATATAAATGAATTTTTGGCCTGACCTTAAGGTATGAAATTACTGTTAAGAAGGGACTTAGGCAAGAGATTACACAGTCCAAGGAATAATAAAAAAGAAACTCAAAATAACCCCAACCTTGACTTTGATTAGTATAAGATGGAGAAAGGAACTTGACAGGTTTTCAATGTTCTATTATTAAATCAACAACAGTAATACAGCGTTCCTAGAATCCCCACAATGTCTGTTGTTTACCTGTCTCCCCCAGTATTATAGGTAATGCTTGTTTCCCAACCATACTAGAGCAGCATTTATGCTCTGCTACTGAATTGCAGGTTTTCTCATACGTTTTTAAAGATGTTATTGCTGCCGCTGGAGGGAATAAATCCAAGCACACAACATACTTCTGGAGAGAATACTGGATAATATCCAAGGTGCTCAAGAATTCCAAGCAGCATCTTGATATAACTGTGATCTGATTGAACAATAAACTGGCAGTTATATCTTCCAGCTTGTTGAGACTTTAAGGAAACATTCTGATGGGTGTCTACACTGTTCTTCTTGTTTAGTTTCTTTATTGAAAATACGTGTGCTTTTGTTTTAAAAATAACAGGACATCTCTTAGCATGCCACATAGATTTCTTTTTCCACCTGAAAGTGCTCACAATGGCCTTTTTAAAGAAACTCAAGGAAGGGTGTTAACTTGATCAATGCAGTGCAGGAAGGAAGGCTTCTTCCTACTATTTTTCAGCATGACTTTCACTGACATGATCAGGCTGGGAAAAGTCTTATTGGCTGAGAGCCCAGGACAACCATGCAATATCTCGTCAAACTATCCTGCCTAAGGGAAAAGTAGAACATAAAAAACAATTTGGGATACATACTGTGGCTTAAATGCATCCAGCTGAAAATATATGTAGAAATTTTAAATCTGCATGCAAGCTATTTTTTTTAAAGAAATGTCAATGTAATGTATAATAAAATATTTTTGTTATATAAATGTTAATGATTGAAAAAGGGTCTTTGTTAGCCAATAATATAATCATATTTTGGTATTATTCTAAGGATTAAATAACAGTTTATGTTAGGAATATAGTATGTAATTGAATATGTGGAACTCAAAATTTAACTAACGTTCTGTGATCTGTCCAATAAATAGTGGCTTCAAAAGCCTTCTGAATTGGGAAGTGTAACCTTTCTTCTCTAGAGTGAATTTCCCTTATTTTTGTATCATTTGCAAAACTTATAATTATATTTGCTAACACTTAGCCTAACTATGCTGAATCCTGTAATATACCAGTTGAAACTTTTGTCTAGGTTGCTGCAGAATCATTGATCTATATTTTAATACTATGTTTCAACTGGTTCTTTTCCTATAAGTCAACATTTTTAATCTTCTCTAGTCAAATCTCATTGGACATCTTGTCAAATATTTTGCTGAGCTCTAAGTACACAATGTCCATTACTTTTCTGTGTTCAATGAAACCAGTCAATATATCAAAAATGTCTTGGTTTGGCATGATTTAGCACATATTGATAAACCATTGCTAGTTTGCTTTTCTAAATGCTTACAGAATGACTACTTAATAGTCTACGGAGATTCTCAGTTATCCAGTCATCTCAGTCATCCAGGTCATAGTTATCCCAAAGATACTTTTTCACGAGGCAATTGTTCTTTTTTTTTTCTTTGAAGACATTTCACTTCTCATCCAAGAAGCTTCTTCAGTTCTGACTGGATGGTGGAGGAATGGAAGGATTTATACTCCTTGGCGCAGACTAATACCATACCAATAGTATGACAAAGAAGCAATGATGGTGCATTGGAATATCTGCAAAATATACCATTTTCTGGCAAATAAAAACTGGTGGGACCACAAAATTGTGATAAAAATAAAGAAGCTATAGAGCTCTAGGGCTTTATTATAGTATTCAAACAGACAAGCACCTGCCACATAACAGCCCTTGCGTATTTTATTTTGTATCATTTGGGGTTTAAGCTGCATTGTATTAGAGAAGTATACTACTATTATAAGTAGTATATAAGTATTCATTTATTTGTTAACCTTTCCTGATATATTAATAAGTCTTCTTTATGACTTTGTTACTATAGGCATTGATACGGCCTGGTCGATTTGACAGAATTATATATGTTCCTTTGCCTGATGAAGCTACTCGCAGAGAAATCTTCAAAATTCAGTTTTGTAATATGCCAATATCTTCTGAGGTCAATCTGGATGAGCTTGTCATACAGACAGAAAAGTATTCAGGAGCAGAGGTAATATTTTTCCTAAATGAAAACTTGAAACTGTTATGCAACGAAGCTCACCATCTCAAATCCCCCTGCAACTCAGACTAACCTGAGCACAACAAAGCCCCCACCCAAACAGAACACTCCCCCATCCAATCAGAGCACAGCCAATCCCCCATCCAATCAGAGCACAGCCAAGGTCCTTAACCAATCAGAACACACCTCCACCCAATCAGAACACAGCCAAGCTCCCACCCAATCAGTTCAAACCCCACTGGCAGTTAAAAGGAAGAAACAGCTGTGATCACACATTACTCCTAGAAGCACGAATCTGAAGACACCAGCCTGAAGATGACGAATGGGACTTCGTCGAAACGTCACCAAGACACTTCCAATTTTACGCGGGAGAAAACCCGAATAACCAAAGACCTACATACAAACACCCGCGAAAACCTCAGAAAACAAACACACACACACACACACACACACACACACATCTAGAGGACATCTAGAGGACCAAATGTAAATTTTTTCTTCTTTGTTAGGTAATAATTCACATGGGTGACAGAGAGCATGCAAAACAATATACTGATATATCTTTACTCAAGTTGCAACACTTTAATCTTGCATGCCAGGAATGTAATTAAGCAGCACCACTATACCAATCTTCCTAAATTTTAATCTTAAAAGCATATGACTAAAATGATCAAGAATGATATTAATAATTTCAATAAAAGAATATTAGCAGTTTTATTATTTTTAAAAAGCTGTGCAGTAGGGCTATGCATATTTTGAAAATAATTCAGAAGTAGTGCTTCAGATTTGAGCAGGAACACAGCACTTCATTGATTTTTGTTAAAAGAGCTTGTCATTTTTATAGTTTCTGTGCAAACCTGACAAAAAGTTATGGCTGCTTTAAGAGATGCCTCTTTAAATTTTCATGGACAATCCGCTTCACATCAGTCTTTGACAAAGACTAGTATATTACCGTGTTTCCTTGAAAGTAAGACCTACCCCGAAAATAAGCCCTAGCTTGATTTTTGGGGGTGGGTCTAATATAAGCCCTACCCCAAAAATAAGCCCAGGCGCACACCTAAAAATCAAGCTAGGATGTGAGTGGTGATGTGGAGCTGCCCCACATGCCCTGCACCCATTTACCTTGCAGCTAGACCTCTCCTCGCCAGCCCACTTCTTCTGCAGCGTCCCCAGGCCTACATTTCTCAGTCAGAGGCCTTTCAGAAGGCCACTGCAGCCGAGAACCGAGCTATGGATTGGTTCTTAACTGCAGTGGCCTTCCGGAAAGTCCATGACTGAAAAATGCAGGCCAGAGCCCCATTCTCAGCTGCAAAATGAAGCTGTTTCTTCGGCCATAGAAGAAGTGGGACAGCTGGGGGGGGCTGTTGGTGCCAGAGGTGAGTGGAAAAGACACACACCACTGAAAATAAGACCTGATGCTTCCTTTGGAGGCAAAAGAAAAAAAAACGGGTCTTATTTTCGGGAAAACATGGTATATAAACTGAAAAGTTTATATATTTATTGTTTAAACTTGCTCAGGATATATGAGGTTTGTCCTTGCTTGATTTTTGTCTGTTGAAAATTAATTTTGGCATACCAGCTGAAACTGTGACCAATTTTGGCAGAAGTCTAATCATTCTGAACATGTGCCATATTTTTTCTGTATTAATCTTAGCCTGCTTTCAAGCTAGTAGTGAAGCATACTGCATGCCTAGAAGACAGCTAAGAAAGAATTATCCACACATTATCTTTCAAAATTATCTGTGATGGATATTCAGTATAAACTACTAGAATTGCTAATGAGAACACAAATCAGCATTTCCAGTCCAGCATATGGAACAATCTTTGTGTGTCCTGACTAGGAAAATATCTAGTAAGCTAAGTAAAAATAACTAAAACTCCAGTAAACAAAAGAATTATGGGTATTTATAACCTGCATAAATTAGTATGAGAATAATCACATTTATAGCCAGACAGTAATAGAAAAGGATGCTTATCAAAATAAAGAAAAAAGAAAAATTGTAACACTTTGTGTTCTGATTACGTATTTCTAATACTTAACAGAAATTTTAAACTATTAAGGGAAGGCTAATGCAGAAAGAATATAGTAATATAGTGTCCTGAAAATCATTTGTACTCTTTCCAGTTGAATTAGGAATATTTAGATTCCTGTTTAATTGACTGGCCTGATCCATTAAACATTTCAATGGTGTCATTATATAGGTTACCACAAGGTGGCACTGGACTTAGTTTGTATCGGGATGGGATCAAAATTACTATTTTGTTCTCATTAAAAGGAAAATCCATTTGCCATTACTATTTTCCAAGATTTTTTCATCCTCAGTTTAGAATATTAGGGGGGGAAATAATCTATGCTCTTGTCTAGCTTGTGGAATGTTGTATCAGTACAGTAAAAGCTTGGGATATAATGTTATTACAAGTTATTTTGCATTTTTTAGAATGGTTAAAGTTACTATATATCGATAGACCTTCAAAGAAATTAAAGTGTTTTTAATTTCCTGAATATTCCAGAATGAAAATTTTAAAATCTATTTCCTATTAATTGATACAATGTTTTCTTTTTTCAAATTTCATAAGTAGAATTCATTTCTATCAACTACAGCGTAGATAATTAAAAATAGTAAGCCATTTGAGTGTAGTTCATGAACAAATGCCTGTATCTGTACATGAACATAAAATTAAAAGCACTGTGTCATGGTTCCGATACATGACACTCTTCAAAAGAACTGCTAGCCCATGGGCCGGATGCGTCACGCGGAAGCTGCGCCCACCCCATTGCCGGTAATGGCAAAACTGTCCCAATACGTTGCGCAACGTCACGTGACATCACGAGTTTGACATGTCTGTCTTAAAGGATCTTTTATTCAAGAAACAAAGTATCAGCACTACACAGTTGAAACCAGAAACTAAATTCCCCTCCCCTGGATACAAAGTCACAAAGTGTAATTTCCTCCTCCAATAAACAATCATAAATCACATTCCCCAATTAGCTTGAAGTGCCGACTTTCTCCCCAGCTCTCCAGCCCACCAAAACACTATCAGCTCTCGGCCCAATGTCCTTGGGTTCCCATGATTAAGTTATTATTGTTATGACTAGCTGGACTCTCATCCCTATTTGCCCTCCCAGCAGCAACTAATTCTAAAAGCAACAGTGAAAATGGCTGCATTTCCATCTGTTGTCAAAGCAAGAACATCCGATGTTTGCAGCGTTGATGCACTTTGCAATTAAATAACTGTATGACTGAAATTTGTGGGCATCTCTCCTTTTAAAAGAATTTTTTATATTCTATAAAAATATTTTAACATGCTCTCATAATGGAAGATTGCTTGCTGATCAATAATGTAAAGAGTGAATATTTATGTCCTAACTGTTTTGTTTAATTAACACTATAGCACTATGCTTGACAATAGTAGAAGGAAAGAGAATGCCAAAAAATGTTTTCAGAAATACAGTTCAGTGTGACCACCACAGTCACTTAGGTGAGATGGGTGGTGTATAAATTTAATAAAGAAATAATAAATAAATAACCAAATGAATAATTTTACAGGTTAATTAGAAAGAAAACTTTCTTCAGCTTTGACTGTTGACTTACAAAGTGGCTCCTGAGCAGTCCCCTAAATGCAAATTTGTTTACTTATTTATTTGTTGATTAAATTTATATGGTACCTATCTCATTATCCAGTGGCTTACAGTGAAAAGCGGCAAATACATTTCACATACCCAGAAGTCAAAGATGTGATTGAAATGCACAGATATAATCAAGCTGTCTTGGAAACTTAATTTAAATTTATAGTTTTCTGCCTTCATAGCTAATGATGGCACAGGAATAGTTCATCTAAGTAATTTCTGGAGATGTTATACGTCTTTTCCCATAATATTGATGAAGTCAGTCTTTTCCATCCAGATGACATGCACATGTGTAAGCATAGTTATAGAAACAGATGTGCACACATAAATCTTTATATACATTCTTCATATTTTCTTTCTTGTTTCTTTAATATGCCTCCTTTGCATTTTTAATGCGGTATGGAGAGCAAGGACAAGGAGATAGAAATTGATATTTTTTCACCATCTTGTGTAAAAGTATCATTTGATAATGTCAGTGTATGCTTATGTACATATAAATCATACATAAAGTGTGTGGGAGGGTGTATGTGTGAGGTGTTTTGTATATGGTGTGTGTGTGTGTGTGTGTGTGTGTGTGTGTGTGTAAAGGTGGGATCCAAATAAATACATAAATATACAGATATTGGAAAAAATTATTGGTCCATTCTTTGTATTTCATAGTCCATATAGAGCATACATTTTGCTATTATGAAATCAGAAATTAGACCTACAGCAGTGAGTTAATAAGTTCTTTGCTTATTAGGAACTGTTAGACATTCTATAAAAAAGCCAAACACAATAGTGGACTTTTCCAAGTGTCCAATTATTTAATTTCACCTTCCATATTTTTCCCCATTTGTTCACATTAAGTTGTAAAAAAAAAGTCTTCAACATAGCATCTAAAAGAGGAAACTGCATACTGTAACCACCTACAAAAAAAGAGAAAGTAGATTTCTGTCACCCTGCTGTGCTTCCCATTGCTTTTCCCCTTCCAATCTTCCCTAGGGCCATGCCTCTTTATTATTCTCTTTCTGGCAGTGGTTCATGGTAAAGAAAAAACATGTTGCTTTTTACAAGCAGTTAGAAATTTAATTCTGGAAGGAAATAGAAAGTCTTTTGGAGAACTGAAATTGTTTTGTTTCTTCAGGTTAGTTTTAAAAATATGCTCTAAGCCAGCGGTTCTCAACCTATGGGTCGTGACCCCATTTGGGGTCGATCAACCATTTCACGGGGGTCACCAAGCAAGGCTGTCCACCATTTTTTTTGTCCGCCATTTTTTTTGTCTGCCATTTTTTTCCCTTTTCCGGTGGGTGCCTTACCTCCCTTGGGCCGGGCCAGCTGGTGGTCGGCCTGCTCTGTCTCTGCCGCTTGCCAGCTACGCCTC